GTCAATTGTTTGTAATTGGTTGTACCGGAACATTAAAAAACAGACGAATGGACCATCAATACGTTTAAGTGTACCAGCTCAAACGAACGAATCATTCATGATTGACACATGTCTAATTTAAATTTAATATTATTATCTTAGGTAATAGATATAAGTATAATTATTATATTTAATTACGTGTTAGTATCTCTTTACTGTTAGGATTGTAGATTTTTGTTTGTGGATGTCGGATTATTTTAGGATTAGGAGTTATTCTTATACTAAAACACTTCTACTGACCACTATGCCGAAATGTCTTAACCATATACATATGGTGCGAATTAGTGGTTGCTGGGCAGAGTTTCTCTTCTGTATTTGAGGTTTATTATAATGGTATTTTATACGAGAAATCTGGTGGAGAATAAATCCTCTTACATAGATTACGCTTTAGTACTTGATCTCTCTAATGGACATTTTGACGTTTACCTTTTTGTAAATATGTCAAATTTAGTATCTACTTCTCAGATTGAAAGATTTTCTACTTCTCAAATAGAAAGTTCTTCTACTTCTCAAATTGAAGGTTCTTTTACTTCTGAGAAAAAGAATCATCGCCGGGCTAGATATACTAATATAACTATAAAATAAAAAACAACTGAAAGATGCCAGTTTCGGTACAAGAAATGTAATTCCAGCAATCCAGAGTCTCACCGTACTGCCGTTCATGACTTACCAGCAAAACAATCCAGAGTCTCACCGTGCTGTAGTAATGACTTACCAGCAAAATAACCCTGAGCCTTTCTGTGCTGCAGTCATGACTTACCGGCAAAATAACCCTGAGGCTCTCTGTGCTGCAGTCATAGCTTACCAGAAAATAACCTTGATTCTCACCGTTATGCGGTGGCAAATTGTCAGCACAGTAATCCAGAAATTCATAGAGCAACTGTTTCTAGGCATGAAAGGAATAATCCAGGAAGACGATTACGTCCATGGAAAATAAAAGCTTTATCTGGCTTATGTATGATCCTGAAGTAGCATATGAATCTGATAAAATGATTCTTGGTGTTATGAATTAAAAATGTATGCAATGTTTAGCTTTAGACGAAGACCTGAAGGAACTGAAGACCCCTGGCATGTGCTGCGTCGGTGGTAAAGTGAAGATTCCTGCTTTTGAGCCCTTGCCAGAACCTCTTTATAGTTTGATTATGGATCTTCATCCAGAGCATTCTCATTTCTCACATCGTATTAAAAAGTCACGATAACAAGTTACGTCATATCAGTGAATTAAGCCGCTCATACGATAGCTTGCAATACCCACTGATTTTTTGCTATGGTGAGGATAGTTATTCTATTAATATACATCAATATGATCCTAAGACAAAAACATTTCTTCAAAAAACTGTGTCGGCACAAAATTTTTGTTCCTACCGCAATATAATCAGACAAGTAGACGAAAATCGATTGCTGTACAATCGTACTATTTTAGTCAATATTTGTTTGATATGCACCCAAAATTTGAAACAGAAAGATTAAATTACATCAGGAACAACCAAGCGCAGTTCAGAGCATATGGTTATGCACATTTGAAAGATGCAATAGGGAGGCAGGACACTCATATTGCTCAACTTGTTCGGATAGTAGTACTACCTACGTCCTTTACTGGATCACCTCGATATATGTACGAAAATACTCAAGGAGAGTCCTGGCGTCCCCCATTCACGAAAGATTTCCAGCAGTTTTTCATCTTGCTTCTCAAAAATTACCAGCGTGTGTGTTTCAAATCCAATACCATCTATGTAGCTGACAAAGTAAACAGCCCACAAAAAATACTCTAATAGCATTTTTTGATCTTTGCAAAACGGATAATTTTGCAAAAACTCTACTTTATGTTGAAGTGCCTTCATACTTTGCATGGAAAAATAACAAATGTGAAAGGCGGAAACGTGGAAGCAACGTCGATGGTTGACCGGAAGTAAAAAAGGATCTAGCTTTGGACAGATTAGATACAGTATGCCCTAATGACTCTGAATGTTGTTATCTGCGCCTTCTTCTTCATGTAATTTGAGGGCCAATATCATTCTCAGATTTAAAAACTGTTGATGGTATCATCTATCCCACATACCAGTCAGCGCGTAAAGCTCTAGGTTTGCTTGAAGATGATATAAACATTGGGATGCCGCTATGAAAGAAGCTGCTCTTTGTGACAGTTCTTTTAATTTGCGAGAACTATTCTCAGTTTTGTTAATATTCTGTCAATTAACAGAAGCATCCAGTCTATGGAAGAATCACAAAGACTGTCTATCGGAGGATATAAAGTGTCAAGTTCAATCAGATTTGCGAGAAAATGTTCTTCAGGTAATGAATAAAGTTTATAATAAGTGTCTGATTTATAAAGAAGACATTGTACAATTCTTAGAAGGGCAGAGCTTAGATAACTACGGTTTGCGTTAACCTTTAAGACACGGAACAAAATAGAGACACAGGTGTGAAACAAAATAGAGATTATATCTGAAAGATAAGCTATGACACATATTTATTAATAGAAATAGTATCTAACAGGAGAAAAGTGTTAACCGAAGAATGATTTCAAATTTATAAACAAGTTTTAGACGATATAGAGAATGACACTGGCCAAATATTTTTAAGGAAAAATCACGGAGTAGCTTTGGCAGTTGCCTCTTCCCATATATCAGCGGCTTTGCTGATTTAATGTATATAGAGGCACCTCTATGCAACATTTAAAAGAGTAATATGGCGCGTTTTGAAAGAAACAAAACTTAATGTATGGGATGAGTGCACTATGATCCATAAAGGAGCCGTAGAGGCTCCCACCAGAACATTGAGAGATATAAGAGAAAATGGTAAATTAATGGGTGGGGTTACAGTTCTTTTAGCGTAAAACTTTCGACAAATCTTACCAGTAGTACCGAGGGGAACACGAGCCGATAAAATAAGGTCGTGTTTAAAGTCTTCATATTTGTGGTCTCATATTCAGAAGCTCGCTCTTAAGACAAAAGTGAGAGTACTCATGAAGGGTGATGCCACCGCTGGTCAGTTTGCCCAGACTTTGATTCAAATAGGGGATGGATACTATTCTACAGTAGATAGTAAAGTCGCAATACCACCAAGTTTGGCCATAGTAGTAAAAACTCTTACAGAGCTTGCCAAAGTTTACCATGACATAAAAAACAGAAACTTTTTTACTCAATATGGATTACAAGTAATACTTATTGAAAGTCACTTTTTTTCATTACCATTGGTTCGCAAAAAACGTCTGTCCTAGGATGAACCAGCAAGAAACCCAGCGGTACTATTTTTTTTAAATAACAACTTACAATCATGTATGTTACAAGTAACAACACAAAACAAATTAGAAATAGCTTGGTAGCGATCGCCCTTCCCAGGGGTTATTATCATCTATAAATTCCTTAATATAATAGTAACACTTTTTATACAAACTTAGTTTAATAAAGTTTTTGAACCTTGTGTATGTCAAATTTTGTATATTTTCTGGGATTTTGTTGTAAAAGCGTATTATACATCGCCCCAAGAATGAATTACTGACTCGATGGAGTCGAGTATCGGTAACATTGTGACAAAACCCGCAGACTGTTATGCGAGTGTGCTATTTTGACAACTGAAAATGTCACAGCGGGTGAACGGTCTTTTGCTAAAATAATTTGAAGGGGAAGAAATCAGCTATAAATCTGTGGATTCAGTGATAAAAGTTGATGATGCAGTAAATTATCCCATCGAGTTTTTAAATACCCTTAACACAGCAGGATTTCTAGCTTATATTCTCTCCCTTAAACTGGATGCACCAGTCATGTTATTGAAGAACTTTAAAAACCAAAAATTATGCAATGGTACCAGACAACATTATATACATACATAATATTAATTATATATATATATATATATATATAGCCCTCCATAAAAAGGTTGAGAGGCAAAAGTTATCACCGGATGTGCTCAAGGGAAATCAGTTTTCATACCACGAATACCTTTAATACTATCAGATTACCCCTTTGAGTTTAAGATATAACAATTTATTCTGAAGGTATCAGCTGCTTTGAGAAAGTGGCTTATTTGTCAAAGTTAAAGATGAATGTATGCGTCCGAAGCAATTTACTTTAAGCATTTGTAGGAAATACCTAACTAATTTCGAATTTAAATTTACAGAAATATATACATAAACACTCACTTCAGTCACCTAGAGGGGTAGGCAGAGAATACAGACTTCCATTTGGCACGATCATGACACACCTCTCTCGCTTCCTCCACATCCATATGCATGCATGCTCACCCGTTAAAAGTACTCTTAATTTGGCCCATTTTCAATACGTCGCCAATTTGGTCTATAAACTTTCACATAGGGCGTCCCTTTCCGACTCTAAAGCTCTCTTCTGCAACATAAATTTGCTTTGTCACTCCTTCCTCATTCATTCTTTCTACATTACCAAACCACCGAAACATTCCTTGATTAATCCTGGTCACAACATCATCTTCCAAGCCACACTCTTCTCTAATCACACAATTTTCACCCTGCCACTTAAATTCAGTTCTAACAAAATCCCTAACGACCGCATTTCTAATGCGTTTATTCTATTCTCGTGCTCCTTCTGCCACACCCAACTTTACTTTTTAATACGTTAGAGTAGGGACTAACACAGCATTGTGAATTGCCATACGTGCCTTTTTTACACATTCTGACTTTCCACAATAAATTTACATTTACAGAAATAATGAAAATATATAAAATTCTTTATTTCTTAATTAAAAACATTAATTATATATCTCAGATATCTCATTTTTTATAGTACCTTGGGACCATAGAAAATAAAGTACGTTCTCTTGATCCGAATGCCTTTATAGTTGTTATTTGAAATAAAATAAAAATTGTTATGTAGTAAAAAGACACAAATATAAAAAATGAAAAACACAAATATTTAGGGAAATATTCTCAAATATTTATTTTATTCAATTTAACACAATCTTGTAGACCGTCTTCGTTGTAGCGTGGTTCAGTCATCGTTCTCTAGAAGGAAGTAGGGCAGGGTGTCCAGCGGCGCCGGATAGTCGCGCAACCAGACCGGGCCGGCGTGCAGCTGGCCGTCAGCGGCGCGCCAGCGGCCGCTCGGCAGGTACACGTCCCGTGACTCCGCGCCCGCCTCCACCACCGGCGCCACCAGCACCCGCTCACCCAACAGGAACTCTGGAACATGTAACTTGTGAATACAATACAAACGTTTTTTATAGATTTTAATACGTGGTAGAGCCATGCTGTAGTTATGTTAGTAGTATAGTTGTAGCACGAATGGGTCGGCTCGACCGAGGAAGGACCACGCTCTCACTAAATAACAGTACAATAATGCTGTGTTTCGTATGGTAAGTGAAGAGAACCGGAGATCCATTTTACTGGATACGATATACTTTATCTAAGTCCTTAGGGTTGTTAACGCATCTGCAATTTGTGACTCTTAATCAAGGGTAGATTAGGAGTCTGTGCGCCACAGCATCCACTTATTCAAATAAATCAAAAACAGCTAACATCAAGTAGACTCTATTTTCATTTATCAACCTTATTCTATAGTAAAAAATCCATTTAAGTTTTTATTTAACTTAATATTCTTTTTAATACTTATTTGACTATTATTTGTTCTATAAACTAAAATAATATAAGAGTTTAAAAAAAAACTTATACACCATGCATTGCTCATGAGCTGTGATGATCCCGATAATTGTTATATTTTATCCTTGTGATGCTCATCAGGATACTAAGATAAAGTTATTACGAGTACATTATTGTAATGTCATCGTTGCGTTGATAAGAATAAAAAGTTTCACGTGCAAAGTTGATGAAAGCGTGTTAAAAAGTTACAGCCTATATACGTCCCATTGCTGGACACTGGCCTCCTTTCATTTCTGAGAAGGTTTTAGGGCAAGGAAGTGACCGCTGCGCTGCCCCAATGCGTGTTAGCGAACTTTACATGTCTTCGAAATATTTTTTCCTTATTCTCCAGACATGCAGGTTTCCTCACGATGTTTTCCTTCACCGCCAAGCACGTGGTAAATCAGCACTTAAAATTGCAATTAACAATTTCATTGATGCTGGCGGGGATCGAACCCGGGTTACTCGCGTTCTGTTATATTTATAGTAAGCGTTAACCATCTGAGCTACCACGGCTCAGAAAAAGAGAGTTTTCTGTAACAAAAAGTTGTTCACTTAACTTACCGTCCCAGACTTCGAGCGCTTCTTGGTCGGTAGGGTCGTGCCACCAGATGGGTGGGTTGACGGGCGCTCCGCTATCCACGGCTGCTTGCATGGCCTCCGCGATCTCCTCCGCGAAGTCCGCGTGCAGTTGCGTGTAGCGGCGGCAGATCTCCACTGTCTGGATTTATATTACCGATTATTAACTGTTGTGTGTGTCAAAATCCCAGGAAATATTCATAGTTAGCCAGTAAACAAGCTTCATTAAAGAAAAAAATGTACAAAAAGAGTTATTATAATATCAAGGAATGCATTCATGAAAATAACTCCTGGGAATGAGGTAATCGGCACCATGTTGGTTCTATTAAAATTCATATAATTTTTTTGTAGCTTACTCGTACATATATTTAAAAAAAATATCCCGCTGGGTTTCTTTCTGGCTCTTCCCAGGACAGAGGTATTTTCCGAACCAATGTTAAATAAAAAATGACTTTCAATAAGTCTTATGTAATAATCAATATTGAATAAAAACTTCCTTCTACATTTCTACATGACCAAACCACCGAAGTTTTTGTTTCTTAATCCTGGTCACAACATCATCTTGCAAACCAAACACTTCTCTTATCACACAATTCCTCATCTTGTCACTCAGATTCTTTTAACGACCGTATTTCTACTGCGTTTATTCTTCTCTCGTGCTTTTCCTGCCACACCCAACTTTCACTACCATACGTTAAAGAAGGGACCAACACAGCATTGTGAATTGCCATACGTGCCTTTTTGGATACATTCTGACTTTCCACAATAGAGTGTAGGGCCCCATTTACTCTATTTCCTGGTCCTGGGATTATATATTATTATATATTTTGGATGTATATGATAGATATGTAGCTTCAATACCAAACTTTTTTATAATCAGTTTATTATCATCCGATTTTGTTGTCATCAGTTATCTGAATTGCCGCCCACTATGAAAGCAAATTTAAAGATGTATTCACTTTAAAGTGAAGGAAAAAATACTTTTCTATACCACTGAGACTTCCGCTTTTTGATATTTTGAATGCGAGCGAGTTACTACTTGTAGCATTCTAGTCGTATGGTATGTTTCCTACATTATCTGTTGAGACGCGCGCAGGCGTAGATGTTTACAACAACAAATTAGACAGAGACTTGAGAACTTGTTGTCTAGATCTTTCAAGTTCCATGCTTATACGCACAACTGCTGAATATAAGTGCAAGCAATGGAGTCACCATAATCGTACTTGGCTCTATCTAATCGTCGATCAATGCAATTAAAAAAAAAAACTTGCCTCGGGCCGCACTGAATGTTTTACATTTTTTTGCATTGGCGTTGTACATTGGTCATTACTAGTATTGCTTACAGTTTACTTTTTTACCACCAGGGCGGCACCACTTAGTAACAAGGTGAAATATTTAATAAATTACATGGCGGGGAAGCTAAATGTTAGGAAAATGTAAGTTTTATTGTTTCTTTTTGCAATATTAGTTATATTATGATTTATTATATTTACGCGAACACTACACATTTATATAATACTAGTTTTTACGGGTTTTATCACGTATATTTAACTTTTTAAATACCCGGCGTTTCGAGCACTTTACAACACCCATGGTCACGGAGAGTACTGAGATGTTCAACGTCCTGATGTCATAGTTAACCGCGGTTACAATAAATTAAAATCGGGTATTTAAAAAGTTACGCGATAAAATCCGTTAAAAGTAGTATTATTTAAATTAGTTATATTTTTGTTAATTAGATCAGAAATTAATAAAGCGCAGTACAGATATTCCTAAAAGTAGAAAAAATTTAAAAAGAGTTAAAATGTGTAAAACATTAAGGAAAAAGTCACTGTGTATCTAATACTTTAGACAGCGATAAAATATATTATTATAATGATTTATAACGTTTCTCAATTACATGAGATTGTGTAACAAAAAACTTCACAAAGTCCCTTCTAGCGACATCTGTTGAATGATTCGAAAGATTATTATAGATATTAGCCATCATTATTTTAAATAAAAAAAACCTTATTTCGTTTCAAGCAAACAGCAAAAATGCGTGCACGATTATTTTATACTTTTTATATTACGATTATAAGTAGTCAGAAGTATTGTAAAGTCACTGACAAATTTGTATGGATCCACGTGAGAAGCACTAACTTTCAAATAAGAAAAATCATCAAAATTGGTTCACCTAGAAAAAAGTTCAGATGCAACACACGTTAAAAAAGTACTTTCGGATTGAGTACCTCCTTCTTTTTTTGAAGTCGGATAAAAACACATTTACTCGTATTTGAATTACGCGCGTTCTAGGAAAATACAATATTCATATTATAGGTCCAATGAATTTGTCTTTCGAGCTGATGGCGCGAACGATGTGCTGCATGCGCACAAGTAAAATAGACTCTATAGAGAGTAGAGAAAATCCTGGACAGTCTATAGTATAGACTAAGTGTGAATATGTCATAAATAAAATGTTAATGTGATAGAGCCATGCTACCGCAATATTATGGTTACAGCTCATAGGGTTCGGCTCGACCGGGGTAGTGTACATAGACCGCGGAATGAAGACCGGTGGTGCAATGTTACCATAGTAACATATTTAACAGCTGAAGAAGATGCGAGTAGAATTGCATACCTCCTCATCATGATCCCAGGGCACGAAGGAATACTGCAGCGTCGGCATGAACACGTTCGCCTGCAGCCACCGGATGAACAGCTCCTTGCTGGGGCGCTCGTTGTACCCGTTACCACCGATCATGTCTGGCAACACCAGCGGGTAGCCGTTCAGGTTCATAGTCAACAGGGTGGTTACCAACGTTGCTAGGCCATTGTCAAAGCCCCACAGCGTGTCCTTGTCTACCATGCGGACGAATACTGGCAGGTCTTGGGTTCTGTATAAATAAATATTTACTTTATTTAATAGTTTACGCTCACACATACTTTGATAGGAAAATGGTAAAAGCGTATGTACAAAGGCATTGCTTATTCCACGATATCTATCGATAAATATCTTCCAGCAGACCTACTAAAGGATAGTTGAAAAAAATGTGAGTAGTCTAAGAGTAATACATACTTAGACTATCCCTATTTTTTCAACAATAATATTCACAAAATACAATTTTCGTGTGTATATATAATTTACATAAAATCAAAACCTCCACCGGAGATTCTTAGCACCAGGAATAGCGGGGCCATCGGCGACTGGGGGACTTTTGGAGTGATTTTTTTATAAGATAGGGTGACGAGTCATTGCTCATGGGGGGTATATTGTCATAGTTGTCACACTTGGCGTTCGGGTTGACACCCGCAGTTTTTTTATTGCTTTTTGCTATTATCAGAAAGACGCTGCTGTCTATATTCTGCCTCAGTTTCCCTCTGCGGCCTCTTACGACAACCACGGGAAGATATGGGGTAGTAGGTGTTCTTACGCGCCACTACACGGGTTCTCAAGGAAGATAATGTCAGCCAGGCGACCGTTTATTAAACCGTGAGTACATGTGTACGTGTGATGGATTTTGTGAAAGATTATATGGCTGATAGGGAGTGAATACTGCCCCAATAAATTGGGATATGGGCAGAATGATTGAAACGACGCATGTGATCTGATTGACTTTGGGCGGAGGTAAGGGTAGGAAACGAATGAATATATACCCATAGGGTCATGAGAGGTGACAAAAGGAAACAAGCCAAGAGATGGGCAGCAGCTTCTTCTTGATAACCGGTGAATGACGTCAAAAACTGTGGTTGCCAACTCGATCTGTTTACCACGCATGGCAACTATGGTAAGTTTCCCCCATAAGAGGCAATTTATGGAGTAGGCCTAACATCAGCAGTGGACTTTTGATGGACTGTAATGGTAAAAACTGTCCTATAACACAATTGTTCAATTAGGATTCAATCTAAGGTTCATGACTCGGCAGCCAATAATTGCAATCATAAAGTAGTGTTTATGCATGTAAAGAATTCTGGGTATTTTAGTTTCTCACCTCATACCGGAGCGAATCTCAATCATTGGGCCGAACTTAGCGACGGTGTTCACGTAATCGCGCACGATGTGACCTGGGTGCAGGTCGATGTCTCCATTCTGGACTGGAATCTGGAAGGAAGCGTATTAAAACTTTATTATAGCTTATGATGAAATATATAGAAAAAAATAGTCTTTAGCTGTGAAATTACCGTTCTGCAATACTGGCCATTAAAATCATAATAATTTTTGGTTTACTAAGAATTCTAATTTCAAATTAATTTTATTTTAAAACATGGAATTATTTTTTCAATACTAGTCATATTTCTTTATTAATTAGCGTTATGTTTTCATCACATTTGAATCTTTTTTTGTCGGTGTGTAGTATATATGAATTCTATTTAGTTGCAAATAGAATTTGAATTTGAATTTGAATTTGTATCATGGAACTTTAAAAGTTCGTGTAATTATGGAATATGAATTTTATATGTGGTAGAGCCATGCTGCAGTTGTATTAGTAGTATAGTTGTAGAACGAATGGGTCGGCTCGACCGGGGAAGGACCACGCTCTCACAGAATACCAGCGTAAAATAGTAGCTTAATGCTGCTGTGTTTCGTATGGTGAGTGTAGAGAACCGGTGACCCTTTTTTCTCGTAGTTCTCACGGGTGACAACGCATCTGCATTTTGATTTGTAATCGAGGATAGATGTCTATGGGCCGCAGCAACCAGCTACCATCGGGTGGACTGTGTGCTCGTTTGTCACCATATCCTATAAGAAAATGTGAGTACCGTCGTGGCAGCAACGCGGCACAGCAGTACGCAATATCAACGACGTTTACAGAGCGAATACCACTAATGAACTTAACACCTGTTATTAGTTTGCCCGCACTTTTGAAAAATGAACCTCGTGGTCGTCCGAAAACGACAATGACGAATTAAAGGCGATTGTGGAAGCTGATGATACTTAATCGCCAGTTTCGACGTTAGCATCGAACATTGGTCCATTTGGCATCCGCATTGTTACCTGCGACAAAAATGGATTCTGTTTGACAGTCGCAAGTTCAAGTTGATCGATCTTAGTTCAGCACTTAAACAATGCCCTAAACATTGAAAATTTACCCCTAGAAAAGGGATGGTCGCTGTTTGGGTTCTGGCGCCGGTATGATTCATCACAGCTTCTTACTGAACGAGGTAAGCATTACCGTAGATGTGTACTGTGAAGAACTGTACACAATGATGGGGAAGCTTGCACGTGTCCAACCAGCTTTGGTCAACCGCTCGTCCTTGCTGTTCCTGCACGATAACGCGCGAACTCATTCTGCACAACAGATGGTCTCCAAATTACAAGAGCTGTGGTTGGAAGTTTTCCATCATCCTCCGTACTCACCAGACCTGGCGCCTACAGACTTCTACTTTTTCCAGAGTTCGGATGACTTTTTGGCGGGAAAAAAATTCAATACTCGAGAAAGGCAGTACAAAATGCCTTTGAAGAATTTATTGCGCCTCGTCCAGCTGATTTATTCAAAAAGGGCATTAATAAACTGCCACTGCGTTGGCAAAGATGCATGCAAAAATTACGTTAACTTATTTTATACAAAACTGATGCATGTATTTTATCTATTTAATAGTGGGAGGCAATAAAAATATATGCAATGAAAATACCGCAGCGTTCAAAATATTAAAACAGGTAACAATCAATCGCAAATCCAACTACCTCTGTACAGTATTATGAAGAGCCATGTCTGCCTGTGCGCCATGTGCCAACTTTTATGAAGATTCTTACCTGGGGGGGACCAACTTGATTCTCCAGCGTCGAACTTCAGACTGTCGATATCATATGTTTCAATGAGGTTCCTTAGCCTTGAGGAGTACCACTCTGCAGCGTCAGGATTTGTGAAGTCAATGTATCCAGGAACTGATCCGTTGTTGTTCCACCACGACGTGTCAGGGCTACCCTCCTCATTGAGTACTAGATAGCTGATTGAAGAAATGATAAATCTCATATTAGGATTTTCGCCTACATCATGAAGTAGTTTTTTACACATAAATTGCACATGGATTAACATCCAAACCCGATATAATTACTTGTAGACCATACAGACACTTGTTTTTGGCGGTATAGCCTGTTCGCTTAGATATGGTCGCCTTTGTGTTGTGCCGCCTTGGCACGTGCCGCATCTTGTCAAAGGCGCTGCCGTGAAACTAAAGTTCGCCGCGTGCGGCGTACACCCGCGGGAGATTTTGATATTTTAAAATAAAGCGCTTTATTATTTATATTCGAATTTTATTAAAGTTATCATGAGAATAATTTAGTGCTCTCAACGAACTCAACATATCTGTAAGCTTGTGACCGATCGTTACACTAAATTGCTTATGATTTGTCTTTTGGATTGTTTTTATTCCTATTTCCTCCAACAACAATTGTTACATTAATATATACCATACTTTTAGTTTGTTACATTAATGTTAAATATTTTCTGTATACGCTGTTGGTTTTCGAAATAAATAAATAAATTCTATTTTATTTCTAGAATAGAAAAACTTTTATTTAACAAACACAATAAAAAAATAAAAATAAAATAATAATAATAAGTTCGCCTCCAAGTGTATCAACACTATTTTAGTGAACATACTATACTTCTATTCGCGGCCCTTAAGCGTCAAGACAAATGCTTATAGCCAATTCAGTGACTGAGCTGTCAGTCAATATGTCATATTTTGTTCAGATGTTTAATTATTCCTAGCATGCCTCATAATGGAGATACTTGACATAGTTGCCACGCCTGAAAAATTTAATTTCTATTTCTATTGTCATTTTTACCAAGTTGTCAGATACTCATTGCGATACAAGCCGTAGGGAACGATTTAGCGCAAAAAGGAGACGGGCGAATTTGGGCCTAATAATAATAACAATAATAAGCATTGGCAAAGTGGACTCTTCCGCCGCCTGGATAGACTACAGAAAGGCATTCGACTCGGTACCCCATACATGGCTAAAGAGAGTCCTCCAGCTGTACAAAATTGACTGTACAGTTGGAGACTTCCTCGAGCAGTGTATGGGGCAGTGGAGTACGGGGACAATCCTTTGCTATCTGGGCGAGCGGATGATGGCTGCGGAGAACCACATAAGGATAAGAAGGGGTATCTTCCAGGGCGTTTGTCTGAGTACAATCTGGTTTTGCCTCTCTCTGAACCCTCTCAGTACTTTACTAGAGGGCTCCGGGAGGGGATTTCAGCTTCGAAAAGGAGGTACAAAAGTGACCCACATTTTCTATATGGATGACCTCAAGTTATTTGCCTCCAGTCGCTCCCATCTTATGGAATTGCTAAACAACACTTGTGAATTTAGCAATTCTATTGGAATGGAGCTGGGAACGGATAAGTGTGCGGTCCTCCATGTTGAAAGGGGGAGGGTTGCTAACTCTGAGGGCATAGACTTATCTATGCCCATCAACTTAAGGACCCTTTCCGAGGCTGAAACATACCGATACCTATGGGTATGTCACAGAATATCGGTATCGATGAGGCTGGTATGAAACACAGTCAGTTTGCGACGTGTTTTATGCACGCTTGACCAAAGTGCTTATAGTCTTTTGTCCGGTGTGAATAAGACACACGCATATAACGGTTGGGTCATGGCTGTCCTCATGTATACCTTTGGCATACTCAGGTGGACCCAGACTGAACTTAACGCCTTGGATAGAAAAGTCCGCACTACCATGACGTCCCATAGGATGCATCATCCGAGATCGTCGGTAATGAGGCTATACTTGCCGCGAAAGCATGGTGGGCGTGGTTTTCTGAGCGCGCTCACCATGCATAATCGCGAAGTGTGCAGCCTCCGTGATTGCTTCCTGGCGAGATCGGATGATCCATTCTATAATGATTTTGTGTCCTCCCCCTCCCGTGGTTTTTCCTTAGGTAGCTTTGTCTTTTGGAAACGATTGTCTGTGCAATCCAGGATCAGGTTATTAAGACCAACAACTATCGGGGATACATCCTAAAGGATGGCACCATCGTCATTTGTCGAGCTTGTCGCCATTTCGGTGAGTCCCTTAGGCATGTCATCTCCGGTTGTTCGGCGCTTTCTAACTCTGAGTACTTGCACAGGCACAACCTAGTAGCCAGAATTCTACACCAGGAGCTCGCTCTGAAATACGATCTCGTGGACCGGAAAGTGCCGTATTACAAGTACCTGCCGGAAGCCGTGCTCGAAAATGAGCGCGCCAGGCTCTACTGGGACCGGGCCATCATCACGGACAGGACTATTCTTGCGAATAAGCCTGATATTGTGCTGATGGATCGGGCACAGTCAAGGATATTTTTGGTCGACATTACCATTCCGTATGACGAGAACCTCGTGAAAGCCGAAACAGACAAGCAATCAAAATATCTGGACCTGGCTCACGAGGTGATCGACATGTGGGGTGGTCTGCCGACCGAAATTATTCCTGTAGTCGTGTCTGCAAACGGGTTAATCCCAGCCAGCCTCTCGGGCCATCTGAGGCGACTGGGACTCCGTGACGGACCGCTCCGGGCTCAAATGCAGAAGGCGGTGCTCCTCGATACCGCCCGCATCGTCCGCCGGTTTCTTTCCCTTTCCCCCTAACCCTCGGCCGTTTGGTCTCCCCTGCCGAGGGCTTCCATCTGGTTGGGCTTTTATTTATTTATTTATTTGTTAGTATATTAAATATATATTTATTTTTTTTTCCCTTTATATATTTATCCAGCCCACCCAGATGTGATTACTATTAATAACCCATCAATATAATAATAATAATAATCTTTATTGACATAAAATTTGTTACAATATTTTTAAGCCTTTGACTCCCGAGCTAGGTTAGAAAACCTGTGTTACAAGAGTCAGCGATCTCTCTAATATATGTGCGTGTGTGCATATGTGCGTGCGTGTATGTGTGTGTTGTATGTGTGTGTGTGGTGTGTATGTGTGTGTGTGTGTGTGTGTGTGTGTGTGTGTGTGTGTGTGTGTTGTGTGTGTGGGTGTGTGTGTGGTGTTTTGCTTGCGGCTGGGTGCGTGTCTGGGCAAGTGTGTGTGAGTGCGCGTGAGTGTGCGTGCGTTTGCATGTGTTCGTGTCTGTGGTTGAAATTTAAGATTTAAACAATTTTTTTTGCATGTTTGTAAAAAAAAAATTATACTAATATCGATTCAGTTTGTTCATAATCTAATCCTAATAGCCAATTCTTAATTTTAATTTTCACTTTTCTACTAGTTAAGGGATATATAATTGTTAAATTATTAATTTTGTTGTATAATTTATATAAGCTTTATATGCATGTTGCCGTCTAGCAGAGGCTGTTCGACATGTTATTGGTAAACACACATTTTTATAACCCGGTTTTTGTTATAATCAGTGCCATTATAAATGGTAACCATATGCTGTTTAGTAATTAATTTCAAAATGTACAGTTGCCTCACAGTTAATACTCGACATATCTCATACAATTCTTTAGTGGGAAATCTGTATGGCCTAAAGGTCATGACTTTTAAGAGGGTTCTTTGTGCCCTTTCCAGGCGGATTAGAAAGGTCTTACAGGCTCCTCCCCAGACGTTTATACAGTACCCTATTACGGACTGAACTAAAGCATAGTAAATTGAACGCAAGAGAGGTAAATTAGCAGTGTATCTTAACTTTTTAAACACCCAAATAAGTTTTCTACTACGTTCAGTTGTAAGCTCTATGTATGAGCGCCAGTTAAGTTTGTCGTCCAGTATTACACCAAGATATTTGACACTATTGGATTTAGTAATTGCTAGACATGAACATGGAGGGGTAGTATTGAAAGGGTTATTACACAAGTGGACCTTAAGATCAATGTTTAAGGATACAGTGTTTCCCAAGGAAAACTGTATGTATGTAGTTTTCGAAATATTTAAGGTTAGGAGATTAGCGCCGAGCCAATGGCCAACTCTGTGAAGTCCCAGCTGAGCGTTATGTCGAGCCTCATCCCAAGTCTTACAATGAAAGACTAAAGCTGTATCATCAGCATAGGTAAATATTTTGCCGTTTACTAGAGGTTGCTGACATAAATCATTTATGTAGATAAGCAAGAGACTAGGTCTTAGTATACTTCCCTGTGGAACGCCACATACAATCGGTTCTTCGGGGCTGACAATTTCACCAACTTTAACCTGTTGTTTACGGTCACATAGGAAGTCCTTAAAATCATGAGTGCATTGCCACGAATACCAACGCGTTCTAACTTGCTCACAAGGATAATCGAGACCGTGTCAAACGCCTTGGCTAGGTCGAGGAAAATCCCCAAACATTTTTGCTTTGCATCAACCTTTGATGTTACAAATTCTGTCAATTGGATTACCGCGTCTTCAGTGGACTTCCCAGACCTACATCCAAATTGTGAAGGAGATATAACTTTATTATATTCTAAAAATTCTATAAGTCAATAATTTAATGATTTTTCCAAGATTTTAGAGATAGACGAGTAGTACTGAAATAGGCCTGTAATTGGACATTTCGTCTCGTGGTCCATCCTTATGAACAGCAGTGATCAGTGATTTTTTAAAAACTTTTGGAAAGATTCCTTGCGCATAACAGAGCTCGATAAGTTTAGTCAAAGGTGGAACTACTAGATGTACTGATAATTTGAGAAGTTGCACAGGTATAGAGTCCCATCCAGTAGCAGAGTTATTTTTTAAGCTTCTGATAATCGATTCCACCTCTCCCTCATCTGGTGGAAGTAGCACAAAAGAGTTAGAAACTGATGGAATTGTGAAATTATATGGAGAGCTATTTTGATTTGAAATATTTGCAACGTCAGCTAGTTTTTTTTACCAATATTAGAGAAGTATTTATTTATGTTTTCTACATCACGAACAGCATTTTAATTAGAACTCAAAAGGTTATCAGCACTCGTCTTTTGTTTTGTGTAATTTATTATAGTTTTAATTGCATTCCAGGTATCTTATTAGTTTTCGCATTACCTAATAGCATGACTTTTCGTAGTTTCGTTTAAGATTTCTCAACAAAGAGTTACAATAATTTCAGTAAAGCTTATAAGTGATTTCAAGAATTTTATTTTCAGGACTTTTTTTAAGTTTGCGATGAAGTTTGTCTCTGTGTCGAATACAACGTAAAAGACCAAGAGTTAGCCATGATTTTAGCGTTCTTTGTTTATTAGGGACACGACGGGAATCAGAGTGAAGTGAAATTGCACTAGCCAACTTTTCTACAAGAGTTAATGCGGCTTCATTTGCATCAGATGAAGTGTTTATAAATGAAAAGTCCACTGTCTCTAAATATTTTAAACAAGCATCATAGTTGATTCTAGCTTTGGTTCTTTTGGTCTTTGCTGGCCAGGGCAAATGCTGAGTAGAATTAAAGAATGGTCTGTTATAGTACTATTAATCACAAATACTGATGCTGCTTAACCAGTTTTCAGCATGACATGATCTAGAGAGCTGTGTAACCTAGTAGGATAAATGCGACCTGGAAGCAAACCTAGCTCCGATGTTAGGTTTAAGTACGCTTCACTTTTTCGATCGTTGTTATTAACTTTAATATCAATATTAATATCACCAATTAGTATCATGTTTTTAGTTGAGTCCAGTGGACGAACTATATTTTCTATAGAATTCAAAAAACTGTCAATACATTGAGTCAACGGAGATCTGTAAGAAGCTAAAATGAAAATGTCGGGGTCAATCATATTAATAGATATAATATTAGCACCTCATGGCTCTGGTTCTTTTATTGTACATTTAATACCTTTTTTAACATATATCACTACACCGTCGTCTTGATTGAGACATTTGTGCGTATAGTACATATTGTGATTTTCAAATTGAGGGATTTGTTTACGGGCACTCAGCCAGCATTCAGAAATAATGATGTCACATTCAAACGTAAAACGAGACAGTTGGACTAGTAAACTATCTGAGTTTTTGTATATGCTGCGAATATTTTGACAGAATATTTTCAGGGAAGTAGACTTATTTTTAATGAGCGAGTTACATGTTTCAGTGTCGCACTCATAAGCCAATGCTACATCTATGTTGTCTAACACTGTTGAGATATTTTCATTTGTATCAATTACTGCGAACAGGTTGATAGATTGGCACTTATTATTGTTATACGTACTTGGTTTATATTATTATGGAATGCAAGTAAACAAGCTATTGATGTGATTTTTATGAGTATGAGTGAGGTTATAATTGAATTTATGTGTTTGAATAGTCTTTGCACGATGATATTTTGGGTGAGTAAAGTGAAGATGTCCAGGTGAGTGTGAGTATAGTGGTGAAGTGTATCCACAGTATCATAAATTGTTTTAAAAATTTTCTTAAAATTAACTTCCAAGATTTCCTATACATACTATTAAATTTACTGTAAAAAATGAGTGACAGAACATGTTTTGGAAGGCATATTCTAAATTTATGTATACGTAATTTAATTCTGCTGACTAAATTTCTCCAAATCGCTCTGGAATGACATTTCTGGATTGGGTTCTGCATTCTCCGTTTCAGTTGGCTTAGAGAGAAAAAAATTATCCGAATCAATTCTAATAGACCTTTCACCAGTCAATTTTCGGATAAAAACTTGGCCATTAGTGGTCCATAATGTTACACAAGTGAAATATTTATCAATATTTTTTTTTTACAGTTTTTTTGTAGTTAATAACGAAATATTGAGCAGTTTTATCATGGCAAAAGAAATTAAATATTTAATAAAAATAATACTGACTTCCGTTATTTTCATTTTTAAACAATGCTGCCAGATGAAATAGGTTAGATAATCGATTTTAATAAAAAAAAATAGAGAAAAAAAAAACAATAAAAAGTGATTCATTATTTTCTTCTTTATGATAAGTTTAAGAAACTTATTATTTAAATAATGGTTTCCTCGTGACACTTAAACGTTTCAAAAAAGTCGTAAAAATAAATTGACTGAATAGATTAATAAATCGATTTCACAATCGATTATTAATGTTTTATACAGGCCACAAAGCGGAAATGTCAACGTTAGTCCGAAAACTCAAACGTCAATCAAATCATTTGTTACGTTTGTTTGGGTCTGAGCTTGCAGTGGTATTGAATATTTTCTTTTCTTTTTGTGTGCTGTAATAATGTTCTGATCTTTAACGACTCTGTCTACGTATAAAGGATTCTGACGGTTTCTTTTCTTGAAGAATACATGTGCAAAATGATGAACTTAAATGATTTCCCCCAGCTCACACATGGTGATTTAATAAAAATATCTTTAGGTATTTATCAAATTAAGTAGGCTAGGTCCCATTAATCAGAACATAAACGACAAGATGGGAGATATGAAATAGAAGTGTGTTAAGAAACGGTCAGCAGCCTACTAGAGAACTGTCAATATCCAATCATTCTAAGAGGTCGTATGAAATTGAGCCATTCAAATCAAACAGCTCAAAAACGTATTTTACATATATTTATTTGACAGTTCTCTTAATGGTAGAGAGGCCATCAAACAGTAATATTTTAATTGCTTGGTAGGAAAAAGAACTGTAGGTTGCTGTTGTCATGTAATGTCTATAATATTGTACCTAAGCTGGGCAAGGCATCAAGAGAATTTAATACCGCCTGCACCGTTTTTAAACGATATTTTGTTTGTTTATGATGAAGTGGACGATTAATAAATCGTTAAAAGAGAAAGTGTTTTTAATTCATACATCCTCTGTTTTTTTATAATTATTTCAAACCTCTAGAATTTAGTTGGACGGCGGCGTCTGAATCTTCTATGTGTGAATGTCCTAAAATACATAAAATTAATATGGTAAAGTCTAGTTTACAATAAACTCTAATAATTATTTTCTTAAAGTGTAATGTGAGAGCTTGGTGTAAGAATAACATTGTAAGCATAACGTAAGCAATAACATTGTTTTGATACAAACCAAGAACATCCTATATTTTTTTCTACCATGAAGCAGTCGCAAAAATTTTAGTTTTTTTAAAATGGTATTGGTATATAAATAAAATAATGCAGTAATCGTTACTGTAACATCAGGCCCAGCTTTCTATGAACTTTCGCCCGTCTCCTTTGCCCTTAATAACTTTGTGTGTTTTATTAATATTTTATTAAAGATAGAAACTTAATAATTAAGATTACCGTATTTTTTATAATGTATAAAAGTTGGTAGTCTACGGCAAGACAAAAAAAAGTAGCACTGTCGAACAAAGCAATGGTACGCACGGTAATAGACGATAATAACGTCGATATAAAATATCAAGACAAGTCAAAAATTATAATGCATTTTTGAAGTAAAACTTCTTTACGTACGCTTGACTTGGGGTTTAAGCTGGCGAACGCGTGACGAAAGTGTAACGAAAAGTGTGATGAGGCGAGGCGAACGGGAGTTGAGTGGGTGATATAAGCAAGAGAGAGCAGTACGCGCGCACATGTTCATTACCGTATAACATGTATATAGTAGATATATGCATTAGCTAGTTAAAGATGTTTTACTTGAGTCGTATGGTCATAAGCACACTCGTTTTTTTTATTTCTCAGTCATGCGTTTTCAGTTACGGTGCTTTCCTTCAACGCCGAGCACGTGGTAAAACAGTACTTAAAATTTGAACTAACAATTTCATTAGTGCCGGCATGGATTGAACGCGGGTTGCTCGCGTACTGTGAAATTTACAGAGAGCGCTTAGCCCATAAGCTACCACGGCTCAGCTTAGCCCCTGTGTTAATGAGAGAGTATGAGATTTAAAACAGAAAATCTTACCCCTTTTCTAAAGCTTCACTGTACCACGGATTACAGTCTTTATTGATGAATGGATGAACCCAAATAGAGACTCGGAAGCCCAGACCCTTGATGTCCTGGATCAGTTTCTTAAAGTCGGGCAACTTCCTTTCGTCGACGGTCAGCGAGCCGTAGCATATCTCCCACAGGTCGTCGATTTCAAACTGGGCGTTAGGGAAGCCACTGTCCGCAATCTCGTTTGCGAATTGCCACAGATTATCTTGGTCGATCTCACGGGAGTATCGAGCCCAAGTGGACCAAACCGGGTATTGGATCATTCTGAAATCGGGTATACCGGTAGGTTTTCCTAGATACGTATCGACGGCGTGTTGATGGGCGATTTTCGGATTATCAAACACCCAGATGTCGTATTTAAGAACATTGTGAGTTCTTTTTGAGGAGTACGGTGCAGCCACTTCAGCGATAAAGCAGATGTGGTTGTCCAAGATGTTGTGATGATCCACAAACAATGGCGCTTCTGGATGCACGTATATGTATTGACCGTCAGAGTTAAGCCAGTATCTTTCTGATATAGCAGCATTGTCATCTTCTTTGGAAATAATCGAGTATTTCTGGATTTTTGATTTTTGTATTGGCCAGTATTGTTCCTTTTGCTCCGGACCTCCGTACCACTGCTTGGTTCCTGGTGGTTAAGCGCAAAACGTCAAAATATTTCAACTATTTTATTACTTTGAAAGAAAACTACATATTATTACAAAAGTTTCTTACAATAGAGTTAGGGCTTTATGATATAACAGATTGCATATTCTATATGGATATTTTTTATTTTTTACTAAGTGCGAGCAGCTATGCAGACTATGGCTATAGTTCACGGCTTAGCCCTATGTCTTCAATGAATAGAAGGAGTTGCTTAGCCGTGAGCAATTTCACTTCTTCTGGGCGGAGTACACAGTTTCCCAGATGAGTGTTACGTTTGCGCATGAAGGGTCCGCAATCAGTTAGGATATGTAGAGGCTTGTCTTCCGTTATGGAACAGAACCGACACATCCTTGAGTTGCTTAGTCCCAGGATGGACATGTGCTTCTATATGGATATAGTAAATATAGCGTTGGCGCTGCCATTATGCTACAATAACGTAAACATATGTAACAACAATGAGGGTATTCACGGCTCTCTCTGCCACCAGGGCGGCGCCACTTGAAAATGAGGTGTAATTTTTGACAGATTTCATAGCTTTTTATACATGTAGTAGCAGATACCGGTCCTGACCGACTAAGTTCAGAAAGTTCGAGAATGGACCCATCTAGAAAGCTTAATTCTTCTGTTCGTTACTAGATGACGCTGTTGGTGGAAAGTTCAAGATTGACATTTTCTAGGAAGCCCTCCTCGCTCTGTTCCCTGACACTAGATGGCGGTAGTATCAGGTACCAGACATCAACTTAGGCGCGCAACAATATTATATATAATAAATATTAGGTGTACAAAACATTATATAATATATAATATAATAAGGCACAAAATTAAAAAGGAAATTTATTAAAAAGAAAATAGTAAAAATAACTAAAGGATACTTATTAAATAATGTAAAAAAAATAATCTGTTGATTTCTCGAGCATAAACCAATCAAAATATTTTCATTTTCAAGCATAGATATACAAAAAACCTAGAATATCAATGATGTCAAGTTATTAAGAGAATATAGTCTCTTGCAGAATAAGTATGTGACAGAGTTAAAAATATTATCTATCGTAAAACTTAACCTCTCTTTTATTCTTTAAAATTTTCTATTCAATCGGGACTTTGTACTTAGCTAAAAATGTGCAGCGGACCCTGTTGTCCATGCATCACAATCTACACGTGCTGTACGAAAATTTGTTAAAAATGTGTTGTCATGGCCTTTTGTAACACTTTATCTCACCATTTATTTTAAATTGGTGCCGTTAGGTGAAATAAATATGTATAAGTTAATTGAACTCACCGAAATCGAAGCAGTCCTCAAACACTCTGTCCGGGGGTCCGTCCCAGAGAACACTGATGCGAAGTCCGCCCAGGTCTTCATCATAGGTGCTGCTCAAGTCAAAGGTAACTTCGCTGTCATCAGCCGATGCTTTGCGACCGATATGACCAAGGTTTTCCAGACCCCTGTCTATAGACGGATTAAGAATTTTTAAGTATTTTCCTGTATCTATTTTTTTATAGGATAAGGGTGACAAACGAGCACACAGGCCACCTGATGGTAAGTGGATAATGTGGCCCATTGACATCTACAGTTAAACTCGCTTAAGAATCGAAACGCAGATGCGTTGTCACCCAGGACTAAGATGGAATACATCGATTCCAGTAAAACCGGTTCTCTACACTCACCATAGGAAACACAGCAGCATTAAGCTGCTATTTTACGCTGGTATTCTGTGAGAGCGTGGTCCTTCCCTGGTTGAGCCGACCCATTCACGCTGCAACCAAATAGCTGCAGTGTGGCTCTACCACGTAAAAAAGTAAAGATCTGTTACGGTTTCAGCCTATTAAAGTCCACTGTTGAACATAGGCCTCATAGATTTCCTTATAAAGAGGATATTTGCTATAGCTGCCATTCTAGAAAAGCGGGTTAGCAACCGCAGCTTTATATTTTTAGTCGTTACTAGGATAACGTTACCGCCCATCTCCTGATTAGTTCACCTCTGTCGCCTCTTATGTATGACACCCGCGGCACGATACGTGGTGTTAGATATTCTATATTTTATGAAATAAGGGTGACAAACGAGCACACAGTCTACCTGTTCGGTTCTCTACACTCACTATACGAAACGCTGCTATTTTAGATAGATAGATAGATAGAAAATTCTTTATTGCACTCAAAAAAAAAACAATTTGGTACAAAGGCGAACTTAATGCCGAATATTTTACGTTGGTATTATGTGAAAGCGTGGTCCTTCCCCGGTCGCGTCGACCAATTTGTGCTACAACCATAATATAGCTGCAGCGTGGCTATGCCAAGTGTCATATATAGATAAAATGCACATAAAAAAAGTTAAAATTACAGCCTATATACGCCCCACAGCTGGGCACAGGCCTCCCCTTATTTCTGAGGGGGTTTCAGGACAAGAAAATATCCGCCGCGCTGCCCCAATGCGTGTTGGCGGAAATGTATATATGGCAAATAATGTGTAAAATAATAAATATATACCAGCTTGAATTCGTTCAGGTTGATACCCTCAACCAACAATTAATATTAAAGTTGGAATTAATCTTCCTTCAAAAAATAAATAAAATATAAATAAATTTAATACTCTAAATGTTAAATATAATATAATTAATAAAATAATAATATTTAATAAAAAAAAATTAATATAAAAATTATTTTTATATAAAGATTTTCTAGCTATAACTATTAATACACAAATTCAAATTCTTAATAAAATTAAACCAAAAGAAATTAAATCACAACCCATTATATATCTTAAATTACAAAAATTATTAATATTCAAACATAAATTTATAAAAAATAAATATAACTAATATTAATATTATTTGAACCAATCAAAATATATTTTTTATAAAACATAAAGGAATTATAAAAATTAATATTATTAAAAATTTTATCATTATAATAAATTAAATCTTTTAAAATAATCATTACCATGTGTACGAATTATTGAAACTAAAATAGATAAACCTAATGCCCCCTCAGAAACAGTAAATAATAATTTATATATTTCATACTCAATATAATTTAAATAAATTATTATTAAAAAAATACTCTTAATACAATAAATTCTAATCTTAATAAAACAATTAACAAATGCTTATGTTTTGAAACATAAATTGCTATTTCCACAAATAAATATAATAAAAACAATAAATCATATATTTAAAATTATCATTTGTTTTTATAGTTTAAAATCAAAACATTGGTCTTGTAAATCAAAAATAAGTTACTTTAAAAACTTCAAAGAAAAAGAAATTCTTTATCAATAATCTCCAAAATTATTATTTTTCATAAACTATTCTTTGAAATCTTAAAAAATATTTTTATCTTTATTAATTATAATATTCTCTATTATAATATTTTTTTTAACCAACCTTTATCTATAGGATTATTAATTTTACTTCAAACTTTATTAATTTGTTTATTATCTGGAATATTAATTAATATATATTGATTTTCATATATTTTATTTTTAGTATTCTTAGGAGGATTATTAGTATTATTTATTTATGTATCAAGAATTGCCTCTAATGAAATATTTTATAACAGTTTTTTTAGAATAATAACTTTAATTTTCATTGTTTCATTATCAATATTATATATATATATATATATATATATATATAATATCTTATAATATAATATCTATCTTCGAAACTTTTTTTTCTTATTTTTCAGACATGCAGGTTTCCTCACGATGTTTTCCTTCACCGCCGAGCAAGTGGTAAATTAGCACTTTAAATTGCAATTAACAATTTCATTGGTGCAGGTGGGGATCAAACCCGGTTTACTCGCGTACTGTGAAATTTACAGCGAACACTAACCATCTGAGCTACCACGCCTCATGCACAAACATATTTGTAATTTGGTTGGCAATAATAATTATTTTTAGGCTACACTACAGCTTAAGGGCTAGCGTTCGCCATAAAACCTAAGCACAAGTTACTTTAAGTGCCGATTTCTACGTGATCGCTGGTGAAGGAAAATGTCATATGGAAACCGGCATGTCTGAAAAAAAACATATTTCGAAATAGGTATGGCGATCTAAAATCGATTAATCTAAGAATCGATATCATGTGCTAAAAGTGATTTTTGAATGGGTATGTAGTACTGAATCGATCCAGTTAATCGATATTTCACCCTAGAAAATCGAGATTGAATCTTTTTCTGTTTCATAATAACTATAAAATTATTTACAATTCGTTGAATGTACCAAAAGTCATAAAGAATGACAGTTTTTCTATTCAAAAACTCGCAAAACTGCTGTATGCTCTATTTCTTTTGCCTCTTCTTAATGGATATAAGAAATAAAAAATAAGTTACGTTTGTAATATGAACTCTATTGTATCTGTTGATAATGTAATTATAAACTCTGAAAGAAAATGGAAAAAAATCGACGTTTGAGAAATCGATCTTTTAGACCTCGATTTTTATGTGAATCGATTCATCAGATTTCAATTCAAATCGATTTAAAAATCGATCTTTTTAGAAAAGAATCGCCTTCCCTATTTCGAAAGACGTGTAAAGTCTGCCAACACGCGCGGCGGACTCCAGAACAGTTTGGTCTGTGACAAGCAGTAGGAAGTTTAAAGGTTGTAACTTTTCCGTGCGAAAGTCATCCATTACCACGTACTCGTAGTTCCACCATTAGATATTCTGCATACGATATTATTTTTTACGAAAGCGCGTAAATTCATTGGTCCTACGAATGATCTCTCCCCGATCATGTCGGATTTTCGTTCCATTTCGTTACCGGACTATGGGAATGTGGATATAAAGAGTGCTCATGTACTTGGATTTTTTTTTTACGCGCTGTAGTTCTTTCCTGCTATTCCCGTTAAAACTAGCCGAAAAATGGAGTCTGGGGATATTATGAAGGCTAGAAGAGTAAAAAGAACTTAAAAGTAAAAAACAGAGAACGCATTTTAGCTATACTTACCTCCAGAAAGAGCAAGCTTGAAACCGCCATTTTCATGTTCATCTAAAGAGATTTCGCGCGGTTTTGGCAGCCGCGGCGCAGCGCCCAAGGCTAGTGCCGCTCCTGTAATAACCACTATTGTAGTGAGGGAAACATCACCATCAGTCAACTTGCTGACCTGTCAGTGCTTCTTTTATGTGTGAATGTATTGCGGGTTTTTGATAATTATCATTTTCGTCATTATTTGAATTCAAACAAGCATGTCATGATCGTCAGATAGAAGTTACCCATCAAATACATTTTTAACCTGACTAATAAAAGTGAAACAATTGAATTATTTTATTTCTACAACTGCGACTTTGAATTTATGTTTTTTGTAGTTATTTCATCTAGAAAATTGTAAATATCGAAACTGACTAATTTATAAGTATAGTAAGTACATATTTAAATATAGTTATAATATTTGTATAAATAATACATTGAAATAATAATTAAATTAAGTTCAAATTGCATGAATGTAAATTTTAGTTTTGTTGTATAATATTTAAATGTATATCTAAAGGTTGAATGTAGCGAATGTTATTGTTTTTAGAGTTCCGTAACCAAAGGGACCTTATTACTAAGCCTAAGCTGTCCGTCCGTCATGTATGTCAACAGGCGTATTTGTTATAGTGGCAACAGAATGTGTATTTCTGATGACACGATAACAAATAAAAAAAACTGAAAATGAAAGGGAGCTCCCCTACTAGAAACGTGTATTTTTTTTGGCTTTTTTGGTTGATCTCAGTAATGGAAACAGGTAGACGCTTGAAATTCTCACAGAGTTAGTATTTCATTATTTGCTAAAATCAAATTGTAATAAAATAAAATAATATTTAAAAATTAAAGGGGGTCCCCATACAGGAAACGTGTTTTTTGGAGTATTTTTGCTAGATTTCAACGGCATAAAGGTGGATTATAATAACGACAATACAAATGTTGAAACTACAACGGGTTACACTCAAATATTCAGTAGCATTGAATTAAATGCTGGTACATATAATTACTATAAACCGTTGTGGATACAATTTCAAATTAAGTAATATAAGAATTACCAGGGAAACTTACTTGATCAAAAATAATAAGTAAGTATTAATAGATTTCAGTACTACTGTCAAATAATCTTAATAATACCTATATTGACGGATATAATTAAATTAGAAAAGCTTAACAAACCTTTACGTATTGCTCAAGCTCCTAATTAGTTTCTTTTACAAAAGTATTTAAAAAGTAGCTACACAGTATTAAATATTGTACGATGGTACGGAACCCTTCATGCGCTAGTCCGGCTCGAAATTTAAAAAATTAGATCTATTTAGTATCATTGCCTGTATTCATAAATAAAAAAAATGAATTTGAATCAATTATCAGATGATATATTAACATGTTGAAAACGATGAAATATCAGTCTCTCACCTGTGAACAACAAAATCCACTTCATCTTGGACAAACAACACGGATTCCGTAATCTGCGATTGCGTTCATCAATTTATTATTTCGTCTATCAACACTTATCTCGGACAGTCCTTTTCGTAACATATATCAGATAGATCTGTATTTTAAAACCCTAGCGAATTGCTACAGGGTGTTTTTAGTTGGATCGTTGTTATTATGTTTTCCTACAATGCAAATGAAGGAATAAATTATTCACAAAACGCAAAATATCGAGTGTGACTATACGTTTCTTTGTGCATTTAACAAAGGGCATTAGTAATGAATCATGTTACGAACAGAGAAATTAATCTTTTATTTGAGTTGTAATTTCGCTTTCTGTTTCATATCTCGTTTTCACCATAATCAAGGCCCACGACAGTATGTCAGTCAAGTTCAGAAAAGAAAAGGGCAATGCACCGGTAGTGAATATACTGGACGATTTTTTTACCGTCCGAAAAAATAGGGTGTAACACGTGAACAAAATAGAAGCTCATGGCATAGATATTTTACAATTTTTATTTTATTTTACATTAAAATATTATGAAATATATGTATCAATAATAATAATTGGGTACGTATTATTTTAATTTCGATAGTTTTATCAATTTCATAATTGTAGCGGAGTGAGCGAAGCTCCGATGGCGCAAGAAAACGATTCTTTGAAATCTATCTCTTCTTTAACCCGTAGGCCAATTTACAAAATTTTTTCGTCAATATTTGTCACACAATTTGATTGAATCTTTTGTTGAAAAAATATAGTAATGACTTTATACTTTTAATCCGCTCCGTTTATGATGCTAGCAATGTAAATATAAAATAAAATTGTAAAATATCAGTGCCATAGGCTTCTATTCCATTCACGTTTTACACCCTATTTTTTCAGACGGTAAGGAAACACCCAGTATACCTATACACTGCCAGTGCGTTGCTCTTTTCTTTTTCGAACTCGGCTGACATACTGTCGTGTTCCTTAAATATGGTGAAAACCAGATCTGAAACAGGGAGCGAAACTACAACTCAAATAAAAGATTAATTTCTCTGTTCGAATATTTTGAGCTAAATTCAAAGCCTCCATAACTTAACTATTAAAAGATAATTGTAATTTTAGATAGTAACGTCATACATTGGTTTACTTAAGATTTATGCACCTGGAATATGGCAGCCGTTCAGATTTTAACTCGTTTATCAAATGGTAAATCAGCGCTTAAAATTACACAGGCAAAGAAAAAGCACGCAAGTATATCTGATATATAAAAATATTTGTTTGTTTGTATTTTATGCTGCCATATCGTTCATTAGATTACGGTAAAACGTAGTCAACATATTGATTGCACTTCCACGAAGGTTACGCTGTGTTACGGTAAGGTGGCGCTGTTGTAGAATCCCTGTATAACTCGTGCGAAGCCGTTACAACATATCGTTAGTTTTGAATTAAATAAACATGTTGTATATTAAATGTAAAACTTTTTCACTCGCACGACACTTACTACATCTAATATTCCGTTTAAGCTATCAAAGTATCGATAAGATACAATCATTCATATCGAGTAGTTTGCTTTTATTATGTAACGCTAACAAACAATTGTGATCCCCTGCTATGTCAAAAGTGATCCCCTACTAAGATGTGCTTACGTGTGCCGTGTAGTGACGGCGTAAGAGAATACTACCCCATATCACCCCGCGAGTGGTGAAGAGGTGACAGAGAAAATATAATAGGAGATTAGGAGATGAACAGTAGTATCTTTCTGATAACAGCTCAAACGTAATAAAAACCTATGGTTGCCAACTTGCCTGCCAAGCGTAGCAAGTATAGCAACTCTATCATCATATCTCCTAAGAGGCAATCTATGGGACGACATTTGATAGGCTGCTATTAATGATTGAATTTTTATTTAACTTTATTTTAACTCTTTATCTGTTCAAGTTTTTTTTTCACCGATTTGCCCCTATCAACATCTTTATTAATTTCATCTTTACCAAGGTTGACTGGTAGAGAATGTACTAGGGCAAAAAGACTGCCCTTTGTTACCCCTAGTTGAAGGTATCTTATTTTATATAAAATAAAGGATAAATAATAAAATAAAATGAATTAACTAAGCGTGTAATATGTAAGTTTATCTATGAAATTCACACACACATACATATACTGGATGGCCTTTCTTACCGTCTGGAAGAAATTGGGTGTAACATGTGAACGGACTACAAGCCTGGGGCACTTATATTTTACAAAAAATAAAAACAAACATTTTGAATTAAATAAATAATTAAAATTTATTGAAAATTTTACCAGACGGTAAAAAAGGTCACCAGTATATATATAGCCAGTGTAGTAATCAGTGAGTGTTGCCAGGACTTATGGATCTGAAGCGTGGTATTTCACTGCTGGCCGTATGACGAAGCTCAAGGTCACTCAGTGAGCTATGGAGAGGGCAATGTTTGGGATTTCTCTGCGTTATAGATTCAAAAATGAGGAAATCCGTAGTAGAACCAGAGTAACCGATATAGTCCAATGAATTAGTAAGCTGAAGTGGCTATATAGCTCGAAAAACGGAAAACCGATGGTGAAACAAAGTTCTCGAATGGCAGCTTCGTACTAGTGCGTGAAGTGTAGAACGGTCTACCACTATCAGGTGGTTAGGTACTCATTACAGCCCTTCACAAGTCCACTGCTGAACATAGGCCTCCCCCAAAGTAATGCCACGAAGCACGGTCCTGAGCCACCTGCATTCATCGACTTCCTGCATATCTTACCAGGTCGTCACTCTATCTAGTGGGGGGTCGCCCTACACTATGCCTACCGGTACGAGGCTGCCACTCGAGAACCTTTCTTCCCCATCAGTTATCGGTTCTTCCAGCTAAATGGCTGGCTCATTGCCACTTCAGCTTATCAATCCGTTGGGCTATGTCGGTCACTCTGGCTTTACTGCGGATATCCTCATTTCTGAGTCTATCACGCAGAGACTCCGAGCATAGCCCTCTCCATAGCTCGCTGAGCGACCTTGAGCGTCCTCATACGGCCAGCAGTGAAGGACTGACGTCTCAGATCCGTAAGTCATCACTGGCAACACGCACTGGTTATACACTTTAGTTTTCAGAGATTGAGGTATACCTGACGAGAAGATGTGTCGTAATTTCCCGACGCTGCCCAGCCGAGTGGAATCCGTCGATTGACCTCTCGGTCGAAGTTGGACTTACCTAGTCGGACTATTTGTCCCAGGTAAACGTACTCGTCAACAACTTCGAGCATAGCGCTCCCAACAACTACCGGCGTAGGTGTGACATGGACGTTAAACATGATCTTTGTTTTGTCCATGTTCATTTTAAACCTATCCGTTGGGAGACACCATTGAGATCATTGAGCTTAGTGCTTAGGTCCTCCAGCGATTATATTTATTGAATCATATTTATTTGTGTTGCATTAGAGCCGTAGTAGCTCTGAGACTAAACGCTCGCTGTAAATCTCATAGTACGCGAGCAACCCGGGTTCGAACCCCGCCGGCACTAGTGAAATTGTTAATTGAAATTTTAACTGCTGATTTACTACGTGCTCGGCGGTGAAGGAAAAAAATATTTCGAAAACATGTGAAGTTCACCAACGCGCATTAGGGCAGAGCGGTGGACGTTTCTTTGTCTTGAAACCCTTTCAGAAATAACACGAGGCCTGTGCCCAGCAGTGGGTGGTATATAGGCTGTTACTTTACTTCACTTAAGTATCGTATATATATGCAATATTCATATTCGTTTCAAATACAGAAGGGTAAGTAATGCACGGAAAAATATCATGCGGAGGCCACAAAAACGTAAAACATTTTTGTACCTAGATAAAATGTTCTAGTGATTGTCAGTCATTTCTTACGCCACATTTTTTATAGTGCTTGGAATTTTTCAGAAAGGACAGAATCAAAAATAGTACGAAATGTTATGGGAATAATAATAATATACATTAATAGGTATACTTATCTTCACGCACAATCCCTAACGAGGTAGCCAGAGAGAACAGATCGCCAAGTGTCACGATCCTTACATACCTCTTTCGCTTCTTTCAGGTTCATTATCTTCTTCATGCATGCACGTCTAGGTATCCGAGTACTATTGATCTTCCCCTCTTCGAGTAATTTGCTCACATGGTCTTCGAAAGTTAGTCTCGGTCTACCTCGACACCTTTTGATATTTACTTTCGCGCTATATATTTTCTTCACCATTCGGTCTTCACTCATTCGCTCAACGTGCCCAAACCATCGGATTACGCCCCTATCAATTTTTGTGATAAGGTCATCTTTCAACCCTGCCATATTGCGAATCTCTTTGTTTCGCTTTTGGTCAGCTATGGTAACGCCGCACATTTTACGAAGAGATCGCATATCCACTGCATTCAACTTGCTTTTATGCTTCTTCTGGCATACCCAGGTTTCGCTGCATATAACAAAGTCGGTACCAACACTGCGTTATGTATTGCAAGGCGTGCACTCTTCACTACGCCTTGCCTTTTGACTAACGCATTCAGGGCACCATTGACTTTGTTCTCGGCAGCGACACGCCTGTCCACATCTAAATCACATCTTCCATCCCGGCTGAAAGCACTCCCCAAGTATACAATTTCATTTATCTGTTCTAGACATTCCTGATTTACCCATATTTCACATTTCGTTCTCTCTTCGTCCTTTTCAAATACCAGAACCTTAGTTTTATTAGCATTCAAACGGAGACCTTTAATTTCACATTCCTCTTTCATACACGTGACTAATGCCTGCAGTTCTGCTTCTGATGGTGCAATAAGCACTGCATCATCATCAGCGTACAGAAGACAATTTACTTTAATGTCACCCAATTTCACACCCAAACAGCTATTTTTCAGCTTCTGTAAACAGCTGTCGAGATACAGTATGAACAGCCAGGAAGACATGACACAACCCTGTTTTACGCCCGCTTGGACGCTAAATATGGGTAACAGGTCATGCCCTATCAGGCTTTACAGTCATAGTAACGTGACTGCACAGCCCTTAACAA